CGGATATTGATCTTAATCGTGATAATTATGAATGAGAAATACTTTTCCGTTATGAAGATATGATCATTAGTTGATTTTCACAAAATGGCGCCTGGATGACGTCACGATGACTTTGAGTCTTTGAAAAGTCACGCAGTTCTAAGTTAGACTAAGATCTATCATCATTGAAAGATTCATAACAATGGCTTCATTCGGTCTTGAGATATCCTGCGAACAAAATCGAGGAAGAATACTAGGAATAAAAATCTTGACGAAATCAATAGGTGATACGTAGACTTCATACGTATCACCTAATAATAAAAATCTTGACGAAATCAATAGGTGATACGTAGACTTCGTACGTATCACCTAATAAAGAAAAATCTTGACGAAATCAAAAGGTGATACGTATATTTCATACGTATCACCTAATAATAAAAATCTTGACGAAATCAAAAGGTGATACGTATATTTCATACGTATCACCTAATAATAATAATAGTGGCTACTTGTATAGCGCACAGGTCCACCTTTTGGTGCTCATGGCGCTTAGAAAAGAGTACATGTAACAGGCATCAGAAAGAAAAAACAATAAACCGAAAAACAAATTCGGAATTCTCCTAGACATAGTAAATTAGAATATTGCAATAATTACAACGAAAGAAACAAATAGGTTTTTAGTTGTAATTTGAATGTTTCTGTCGATGACAGTTGACGTAATTTTAGAGGGAGCTTATTCCACAGTTTTGGACCCATGGCTGAGAAAGCCCGTTCCCCCAAGCATGTTTTATTCTGGGTGTATTAAGTAATAGTGTGTCTGATGAGGAGCGAAGACTTCGTGTGGGGTTGTATTTTGAAACAGAGTTGCTCAGGTATGTAGGGGAAGAAAGAGAGTAAACTGAATGATGTACAAGTAACATAATTTAAAAATAATCCTTTTTTCAACTGGCAACCAGAGAACGGAGAATTGGTGATATGTATATATTGGTTTAAATCATTATCGACCAGTTACTCTTACGTCTATGTCATGAAGTGCCTAGGAAGAATCTTGCTAATTTGTTTTAGATGTCAAGTGAATGATTTTGATCAATCTCAATTTGCATATTAAAAAAACAGAAGTGTGAGGTACTTGCATATTTTCATAGCCTGTACAAACATCTTGAAGCCCCAACGTCCTATGTCAGATTTGATTTTCAAGTGTTTTCAATACGATTGTACCACATTTACTGATTGATAGACTTCTGAATCTGAATGTTCCACTCAACCCAAACTTTCCATGATTATCCATTACTTTCTTGCAGATAGACCACAATGGGTTAAGTACAATACTATTACATCAGGTGTTAAAGTCACTGAGTATAGGTGCACCACAAGGGTGCGTAATTTCTCCGATTTTGTTTTCAATACACAAGCGACTGTAAAGTTTCAAAATCCAACTGTGCAATAATCAAATACGCCGATGATACTGTCATTAATGTATTTCTACTGAATGAAGCTAGAGTTTATTTTGAGCAAGTCAAACAGTTTGTTGAATGGTGTGATAGTCATTTCATCCTGAATGTAAACAAAACTAAGGAAATTATTTTTGACTTTCGGCGTTCACTTCAATTCCAATTACATGAATCTTTGGTTATCCATGGCCATTGTATTGAACAGGTTTCAGAATATAAATAATTGGACAGGGTAATTTTTGTTGACGAGAAGCTAAATTGGAATAGAAACTCACAGATTGTAGCTAGTAAAGCAAGCCAAATATTGTATTTTCCAAGAAAACTAAAGGAGTTCAGAGTTGATAACAGCATTCTAGTTCTCTCTACCTGTCGCTCATTCAACGCCTTCTTATACATTCAACTTTCTGTGCATGTTTAGGAATCTCTCAAAGCAAAACACCAAAGAAAACCCAAGGAAAATTGCCCAATGAGTAATTAATGAGAAACGCATTCTTCTAAACGTTCACAATATAATGCGTGACCCCACACACACACCCACCCTCACTCCTGTTTCATATAGAATCATTCAGGCATTCGTCTGTGTGTTTCCAAAACCTCTCACTGTGGCTATACTCTGAACCTAAGCGCAAGGTTCACCTTTCTATCTGTGAATATGTCTTTCATTGCCAGAAAAGTATTCCGAGCACTTTCACTTTTTAGTATTTGAATCGGAAGGGTGAGTGGTTTGGTGGTGGGATGGTGGCGCCTTTTCTTTTGTTTTCGCTGGATCCGAATGAAGTGTCTGGCCGACGCGAAATCTAATTCAGAGAGAATAGAAGGGACGTGTTTGCTTTCCAATATGGACTTTTAGATTTACGCGACGAGAGCGTGGACTGCCGCGTGTGACATTGAGTTAAGGCACTGGGCCGTGCCCGGCAGTGCCTTAAAATGACGTCACATTACCTTAAAAGGATGTCACACGTGGCGGTCCACGTTCTCGTCGTGTAAATCTAAAAGTCCCTATTGCCGGGCTTCTTGCCTGATTGGTTTTGGATTTTACTGGGGCGTGCTCGCGCTGGAGTGGGTCTACAGGTGGACGGAGCCTTGCGGAATTTGTATATGTTTGCAAGGTAAAAAAGTAAAGGAGATGTTTGGAGTCGTAATCACGTGTTATGCAAGCGGTTATTATTAGGGACTTTTAGATTTGCATGTCGACAGCTTTGACTGCAACGTGTGACGTCATTTTAAGGCACTGCGCATGCGTTACGTCGTCTCAGTCGGCGATCGAGAATGCGTCAACCTTGATTTTCCTAAATCTAGTACATTTATATAGCGCCTTTACATGCTCAAGGTACTAGTATGCCGCGTGTGCATAAAATATGCAGTTCCTCAGGTAGACAATATTAAAGGAACATCCCTTCATTGCTATTATGTAAAAAAAAGAAAAGAAGGTGTTTTTATCTCTTTTATCTCACCACCTGGTCAACAGTTGCAAATTAGCGTATAACTTTTCGGCGGCTTGGAGCACGTGGCAAAGGAGAGCAGCTTGATTCCAATGCTTCTCTGTCACGTCCCTGGTGTAACTACAGTAATCTAAGGTACTGCCACGTTATCGAAATGCCCGCTAAAAATTAGTCGAGAACATAAAATATGAATACATGTAATTATCTAATTTACCTTAATTGTGCTTGACCAATTCCTTAGCGTGTGATCGGCTTCATACAAGTGACCAACCGTTAAGTGGCTTGAAGCTGTGAATCCATTTCCATTATAATTACCCTGGTATAAAATATAACATATACACACCAGTATGAATTGAGAAATTTCGAAATACTATCGAATTCAATATTAGGGAACATTGCAACGATCAGAGGCACGGCTTCAGTGAGCATGAATAGGGACTTTTAGATTCGCACGATCCGCCTTTTAATGCGTTGCCTTGAATGGACGTCACACGTATCAGGTAGATTAAAAGCGACCGACTGGGGAGGGTTTGTGAGGGGATCGTTTAATCTTGTATTAACCTCCTCCCCTTACTTTTTATACTTTTTCTTTCGTTTATCATTTAATCTAAATGAGTGAGTAGCCCTACGTGAAAATTTGGAATGAAGAAAAGAAGAATATATAAAAAGAAGAAGTTGAAAGAACAAGTTAAGAGAAAACAGGAAAAAAAGGAAGAAGACGGGAGGGTACATTAAAACAGAAAACAATAAAAAGTGACATTATGCATGTTATGTTTCGTGATTGTTTGCAGTCATTATTCAGTAATATAAAAAACATTATGGAAAGCGCCATGCTGACCACAAATACACATACACAAACACACACGCACACACTTTCTCATGATCTAGCTCTCTCTCTCTCTCTCTTATACCTTTTTCTCTATCTTCCTCTCTTGCTTTTCCCTTCGAAATACCCTTATTTTGTGTATTCTTATTCACACCTCATGTTTTCTCCATATTTATTAAACTAAATTTTCCTTGAGGAAACGACAACAAAATTTACAGGCTATATAGGCCACTGAATTATAAAGGATTGTGTTTTAACACTTTCAAAAACTTTATTATAGATACGTGCGTCATGTCAAGCTTCTTCGGGTTCAAGATTAATTTGGTCCGTATTTTTGATTCATCACTTATCTTTCAATCAGTTACAGAGCTACGTAAGTTGATATGATCCTTGATCAATTATTCTGTGAGAAATGTCATATACCTCTGATACCAGTAATACATTCTTGAACTTGTGCCCCGTCGTCCATTGAACGTAGAGGACGCATGTCAGGGAGCGGTGTGATCAGTACAATGAGGTGATCCGAATACCTTGGACGGGAAGACGAGTGACGCTAGAGAATAATTGCCTTTAATCAGAAAGATTTCCTTTTATTTTTGTTTCTGCGTTTCTTTGATTCTTTGTTTTCTTCCTTTGTTTCAGTGTTCCTTTGTTTCTTTTATTCTCTTTTCTTTATTTGTTTCTTTCTTTTTCCTTTCTTTTCTTTTCTTTTTCCTTTCTTTTCTTTTCTTTTTCCTTTCTTTTCTTTTGTTTTTCTATTCTCGTTTAGCTTACTGTCTAAGATGCTGATTGGTTTCCTTTTTTATTCCAATAAGTGACGATTTCCATCCAAGTCAATGTAACATGGGGCTGCAATAAATTCAACTTCCGTTTTCACCAATCTTGTTCGATAGTGGCTATAAACAACCATTCCCATGTGACGATAGTTAGAGTGAGTGTTGGAGCAGTTTCTCCCCCTTGTTTTTGCTTTTAGAGGGTAGTTTCTGCCAGTGCATTTTCCACTGTGTTTAATTATTTTAAGAGACTGAGGATGATGGAGGTTTCTGTCTCGACTGTAGCCAATAGCTGACCGATAAAGTAGAGGCTTCAGGGATGGAAGACCATCTAACAACCAGGATGAGTTGTTATGTGAAGGCACACCTTTAAATGATGATCGCAAGAGGAAGACAGTCTCTTGATGGTCCTTACAGCTGTGGTGTTGGCACTATTCTTGATCCATCCGGAATGTGGTACCAGCGTCCTCGCAAATGAGTGATGCCTCGGCCACTCCTACTCCAACCCCGTCCCCGTCCCCTAGCCTCTTCAGTAGTAGGAAGCACTGATCGCTTCCATCTTGAGGAGGATTTCCTGCATGCTGTGCGGCCTCTTGAGTGGATCTTGCTCGGTGCAGTCCTCCGCCAGTTCCGCCACCTCGCTGAACTTGATCTTCCTGGCGATGGACTCGAGGATGACGCCGAAAGAGTAGATGTCAGAGGCCACTGAGTTGCGCTTTCCATACAGGACAACTTCAGGGGCCATATAAGTGTAAATTTTTCTCGATCTGTACTCAGCCCTTCTCTTGTCGGAGAATCGCCTCTGTTTGGCGTAAGCCATTGCACTGGCTAATCCGAGGTCGATGATGATGGCGTGCCAGCGCTGGCTTCGCTTCTCCAGCAAGATGTTGTTTGATTTCAGGTCATTATGCAGGTATCCTTCCCGATGGAGCTCCATGATGCCTTTGATGATATCCTCACAGACCTGAAGCATGTTGATCAGGCCGAGCTTTGGGTTGGACTTGAAGCGGCGGGTCAGGGCTCGGTAGAGAGGGTACGTCCTACCAGTCTTCTTGTTGCCGATGAAATCCATCACCGTGCAGAGGTCATCACCGATGGTAACCATCCCAAGCATCTTGGGGAAGTAGGGAGACCCTGACAGCAATTGCTGCACCATGGACTCCTTCGTGGCTCTTTCATTCATCAGCAGCTTCTCTTGCTGCAGCATGTCCCTGCGGTAGTCCGAGTGCAACACTGGCTGCTTGATGGCGATGGGTCGAAGGTCATCACCATGGCGACCAAGGTACACCTTGCCGTAGGTGCCTTTGCCGAGGACAGGCATGTTGCTAAGGTCACCTGGTTTATGGCATCCTGAGAAAGGCAGGATGTCATCAATATCTAGGACCTCGCATTTGATGGTTGGCATTGAGGCAACGGTCGCATGATCCGCCGCGTTTCTCGCTTGGAACCGAGCAGCGCCCCTGTTCTTGTTCAAGCAGTTCTTCTGCAGGCTGTATTGAAAGAGAAAATGAAAAAATAAAACTTGAAAATTAATCTCTTTGAAATGTTTTGTTTCTTTATTTGCTTTTTGACATTTATTTCCAACTTTGGCTATGACGGGAATACAATTTAGGTTGTAATTTCTTTTAAAAATGAAGGCAGATTTTCTCAATGGAAACACTTGCCTATATACTTGAAGCAATTTGCTTCTTATTGAAAGATACCTTTCTGGGTGGGAAGTCATACTTGCTACATTATTAATGACAATTTAACAGAGCTTAGTAAGACGTTTAAAAGTACAGAACTTATTCTAGACACCGGAGTTTTTGTTTTTAAAGAAAAGAAAAGAATTATCGAATTGGCTTACGTGTCGACAAGGTCCCGGAGACTTTGAATTAGGGTCTCTTTCTTTTGGTTGTCAAATTGCAGAAGTTTGAAGTCGTTTTGGAGCTCAGCCCTGGAAGCCTTCTGTCTTTCCAGACAATCTTTCTCCTTCTTCATCTGATCAGCCAGTATGGTCATCTTGGCCTCGAGAAGACTGTAGACAAGGTTGTGGTGAAAGTGTGATGAAGAGTTTTAAGGGTGATGGGAAAATGAAAAAAGGCCGGGTTCAAGAGTATGGAATAACATAATTATTAAAGGAAGGATAGGAAATGAAATAAGAGAGAAAGAGAGATAGAGAAAGAGAGGGGGAGGGTGATGTGATGTAGAAATATTGCATTAAACGAAATAGGAAAAGATGATTATCATAAACATGATTATGCTATCATATTATAACTTCCCATATTGTATCTAAAACAAGGCAAAGTCAATTTGAACTCAACTCAAAATAAACTTACCTTATGGTTGTCTTTTGTTTGATGAGACCTTCCTGCAACTTCTCAAGATAATGTTGGACTCCTGTCACGTGATAAGAAAATGACCAATCACAATCAAACGATGAAACATTAATTTCACCTCAAATAAATTGTCTACTTAGACCTTACTCAGTTTCAGAAGAAAAAAAAAACTCGTTGGTATAATGTTATAGATATTACAGGTATTAAACCTATTCTACGATTTCGATCCGAAAAAAGGACAATCCGAACATATAGAAACTCCCGATCAAAATGATTATCATTAATTAAGTATATGGTATAATAGATTGCAACGTACATGTAGATGATTTGGAGGGTTCTTTATAGTAAATAATAAATTGTATAATAACATTCATGTTTCCAGCTCAAGTGCATAATTTACCAGCTGCCTAATTCATTTGGCAGTTCTCATGTTTTATATCGAACTACCACACCAGATTAAATCACCTATAAATATTGAAGTATTTCAATTAGTTACGTATTCATCATTATGACTGCAGAGGGCTGCGGCGGCGGGGGTGGGGGGGGGGGGCTGACCCATACCTCTTGTTGTTCAGGTGCCCTCTTCTTCCACCATTTCAGGCGCAGTCTCTTGCTCCTCTTCTTCTCTTTCTTCTTGGGCTCGGGAACAAGGAGGGGTTGGAGGTCCTCGAGGGATGACGTCAGAGCCTTCATCTTGAGCAGAAGATCCTATAAGGTTTCAAAAGAATCAGTCAAAATCTGCCAATTTGCTACATATTTTTCTTCAATGTATTTTATTTTGGATTCTAATGCGTATTGAATGAGATGACTTGCGAGACTGCATTTGTAATGTTTAATATTTATTTGAAAAACACCATCTACGCAATTTAAATTTTAAACGTCTGCCCTTTCCTTTGCATCTCTGTCGCCTTCGACTTTCTCCTCATCACTGTCTGTTTCCTAAATTCTCTTTATCTTCCAATCCCTCTCGTCTTATATCTTCAACTCATTTACTATCTATATAGGTCATCATTGATATCAGATTCTATTTTGATAATACGTGTAGGAAGTATAATAATTAATATGCAGAGGTATTATTCTCTATCATCAAATTGTAGGCGTACAGTAGATCTTATCAGCATTTACACAACTGTTGGTTAAAAGAAATATGTTCGCTGATCTTTCTAAATGTTCAAATTATTTTTCTGTTTTATTACCTCGATCTGCTCTTCTTTTGCCGCGATCTCCTTCTGGAGGTCGTCGAAAGACCACCTGAGCTCGACGACGACATCGGAGTGGTTGATATCGGGTGCGAGGCAGACGCCGACATCGGTGGCGAGGCACTGATAAGGAAAAATCAAGGCTGATGATACTATTTCCAAATTACCTTTGCTTATTATGAAGTGAATTTATATTGTAAGATTAAAAGTATATTTTTTGTATTATGCTAACGCGATTAGTGCTGTGATTCGTTTATATCGTGGCATTAAGCTTTCGCGAATCTGGAACCTTCCCGAATTTTACAAAAGTCTTCTAGTTTATGTCTTCATCATTAGATTCGTAAGAACTTAAAGTGTAAAAGTACTGGCATGTGTTGAAGCTATACCAATAACATTATTCACTAAGGTGAAGAATTTGTTTTAATTGTAATGTTTGTCAATAAAATGTGGATTTAATTTACCTTGACGTCCTGTGCTTGAGCTTCCAAGCGCGACTCAAATTGTTTGACCCGATCAGTGGCCGTCTAAAATAGAGAAGTAAAGAGCAATATAATTATCAGTGACACTTAAATGGGTGGGGGGCAGTAAACGTTTTGCTGATGAAGGGATAAACTTTCGCCTTAAACAATTAATGATAAATAAACTCAGTGGCGATTGTACACTCTCAATTAAATCACTAAGAATTTTAGCGACGGCTCGAGCAATAATTTGTTTGATTATGTTTTTAATTTTATTTATGAATTTCACTAAAAACTGTTGTGTTGGAAATGGCAATATCTATTTTATACTTTTTATTATTGTCGAGTTTCTGTACATTTTCACTATTTTTGGAATTCAGGTTTATTTGTTCTCTGTACTGTTTATCGGTTGTGCAAAGAGTAAAATTGACCTGAATTGTTGATAACCTTACCATCAAATCTAGTTCAAGTTCGTCATTCTGAGCCTGGACCTGGTCCCAAGCTTGTCTGAGGTTCTGGGCCAGGACCTTTGGGGACTGGATAGCATCCATGCTCTCTGTGATCAGCTTGATTGGATCGGCCAAGGTCTAAAGGTGGAGGAAGAGGAGGAGGAGACGGGGAGGAGAGGGAGAGGAAGAAGGACAATGAAAAAGGGGAGAAGGACATAGAGGGGAATGAAAACATAGGTAAGAGGATATGAAGAACATGAAAAGGACACGGTGGAATGAGGGAGATGGAGAGAAATAAAAGGAAGAGAAAGGGAGAGAGAGAGAGAGAGAGAGAGATGGAGAGAGAGAGATGGAGAGAGAGAGAGAGAGGGGAGTGTGTGTGTGAGAGAGAGAGAAAGAGAGAGAGAGAGAGAAGGGGGAGATGATGAATAATAGAATAGCACAAGAACATTCGAATGAACAAGAGAGGAAGATGTTAAAGATAATTTTGAAAAATAATGAAGAAAATGTAATGAAGAAGATAGGAGATGAACAAGATGAGGTATATGAACTGACATGACTAAACGAAGACCATACCAAAAACAACTAATGGTTTATGGTCAGCAGTGATACAGTGAAAGAAATGAAGGTGTGGTGAAGGTTAAGGGGGAAGGTGGGGTGAGGCTGATAAAAATAAATTTCATAAGAAATATTATTATTAAATGTAGATATAACTAAATACTAATTACGGCCGCGTTTAATTATAAAGAGAGTTTGAAATCTAAAAAAGAACAATTACGAAGATGAATACGAGGATAATAGAGAATAGATAAGAAGAAAGATGTTGTAAACTAAGATTAAAATGTTTCTAATTATAATGACGCCATTAAATGTTTAGCATAATAAAATGTTAAATCAGACTTATGTAAACTTTTCACTAATCGTTTTTTATATAAAAAAAAACAAAAAAACATTGCCTCCATAAAAGGAAAACAAAAATAGCAAAGCAAATTTTAAAAAATTAAAAAACCGTTATTATTCAGATGCACTATACTGTTTTTGCTTTAAAAATCTTACAAATGTCACACACAAACATTAATTAATTACCTTGATCTGGAGGTCCATTTTGTTTGTCATGGTCCTAAATCTTTCTCTCCAAGTTGCAGTGCAGTCGGAACGCCGGACGTCGAGAACCTGTCGAGCCTCGAGGAGCTTCTCAGCCGCATCTTCTGGGGTGGAGTCCTCCGTTGCCTCGGAGATGGAACAAGCCGCGGTGATCAAGTTCTGGAGAGATAGATGTGTAAGAAAATGGATTTCAAAGAAAAATATGGCATATATAATATACATGAAAACTGACGAGGTATTTTATGGAGAAAAAATGGCAAAAGTCATATTAATGTTTGTTTATATAATGTTAGAAGTCATAAACAGCAAGAATTGAAATGGGGTAGAAAATGTGTTTTAAACATTGTAAATTTGATTACTTTGGGCGTGGTCAAATCGTTACTTTTAATTTTATCTAGAAAAGAGATAATTATGATTTTGCTAGTTTTTATTATTATTGCTGTTTCCTGTGGCTGTAATGCTATACGTTTTAATTTTATTAAGATGTAAAGTTGAACAAATAAAACTATACATTTGGAGAATTTAATTGAGATTATCTTAATCAAGAATACCTTAATTTGGGCCTGTGCAGTAGTCTTCTCCTCATCATTCCTTATGAGTTCGTCGCTCAGGCGCTGGGTCTCTGCGTCCTTCTCCTGCCAGCGTTCCAGAAGAATCATGGCCTGGACTTCAGGGGAGGTATCAGCTGATACTCCGCTGATTGCACTGACTACTTGCAGCAAGGTATTGTAATACTGTAATGGTATCGTAAAAGTTGATGATTAATTTAACAAAACTTTTTTTTTTTTAAGTGATCTGTGAAATTAAAAAATTGTCTGAAGGCAATGGCAATTGAATATCTTTTCGTCATAATATACTCAAAGGCAGACTTTTTTTTTCCTAGTCTGAGCATTAGATGAATATTCAAACACTTCCAACTCATTTGCCATAATGTCTTTTAGATAGTCAAGTTAGTTCATTTATTTGCTTGTGTTTGTTCATTTCTCTCTCTCTCTCACATCCCTCTTTCTCTCTGACTATGATACTCTCTCCACTCGTCCTCATGCAACATCTGAAAAGACAGTATTCGGAAGCAACCTACCTTTTGCTTTTCCATGTGATCTTGAGTCTGAAACTCAGTATCTCCGGACTGGGTCGAGGCGTCAATCAATGACGCTTTCTCAGGAGTCTGAAATTCTTCATCTCCACGTGGAGTCGGGGGCTCAGCCTCGGTCTTCTGAGTGTGAGCCTCTGTTGAGACTGTATCAGACTGACTCAGTTCTTCCAATTGCTCATAAGTGAGAGTTTCTGTGTTGAGTCCAGTTTCAGTTTGGAAGTCTCCACCTTGAGTAGGGGGCTCAGCCTTGAGCTGAATGGGGACCACAACTGAATCCATATCAAACTGAGTCTGCTCGTCCACAGGCTCGCGAGTGAGAGTCTCTGTGTTGAGTCTATTCTGAGTTTGCCAGTCTCCGTTTTGAGTAGGAGTATCAGCCTCGATCTTTTGAGCGAGATTAAGTGAAATCTCCATGGTAGACATTTTGGTACATCCACAAGCTCGAAAATGTGAGTCTCTGTGATTTAGGTTTGTTCCAAAGTCTGGGTATTTGAATCTCCTGCTCAGAGCAGGAATCTCGTTTAGTTATTCACTGGAATGATAACCGAAGTTCCCAACTTCTGAAATCAAAGATATATTATAATGATTACCGTGATTTGGTAAATTTTAAAGATAAATTATGCTAAGGGTGTTTGAATGTCTAACATTAGCTTCGAGTGTTTGAAATCGTAAATGACTACAACGGATATACATTCTGCAGACTTTGATAGTGCAGGAATTCAACAGAAAATTCAATCAAATTAAACATAATAATTTTATGTTTGAAATTATCATGATTATCGTGTATACCTGAACAAAAAAATAAAGTTTCCGACAAACAGACGCTAGTATTGTGATGAAATAGCTTTCTCAGACACTTACAGGCGTGGAATTTGTGGAAATCCTCGTAAAATCTCCGAAATTTCAACGAGCTTGCTCCCAATCGAAGGAATAAGACAAGAATGAGCGTTTGTTGATGCGAAGCTAGCTTACTACATTATGCGCATGCGCGATCACCATGGAATAAACTTTCGACCAATCGCGCGCAAGGATAGGTCAGTTAGATGAATATTCATATGTGTGTATCATGTGCGCAGAGCTCTTGACGTAACAATGGCCTACGCGCAATATGTTGGAGGTTTGGAGTTACGCAACAATCAATATTTATGTGTCATAATGTATTCAAGACAGGGGTCGCTATTTGTGTACCAAATTAATTTGTAAGAACCCACGGATATGAATACTGGATATGTGCTAATGAAAGTTTTCTAATAATCATGATTTTTCTTAAATTCACGCAGTAGCACCACTATATGTTTAAAAGCTCTGATACATAATATGGTCATGTTTACCAATGAGTTAGGAGGGCTGTATATTTAAACGTCTTTGGTCCTAACCCTTTGTTTTTACCAACAACTGACTGAAAATTGTAATTTCTATTGAATTAACAAATTGTGCTGTTCAAAGCACTTTAAAAGCGAAACTTCACGTGTGTGAAAATTTCACATTTTTGTTGTATGATGGGAGTGCTTTAGAGAAACAGCGTGTTTCATGCGACGAAAATTATTTTCAGATTTCGTGCCAGTTCATGTTATTTTTCTTATATTTTAATATCTCTTTAATCCCCTCTTTTCTACCTGTTTTTGTTTTTGGTCTATGTTCATCCATCTTTCTATTCATATTTCTTTCCATTAACCACCCTTTACCCCCAATCTGTCTCTCTTTCATATTTTCAATGTCTGTCTGCTCCCTCTCTTCTATATTTCTCTCCTCTCCATCTGCCTTTCTATCCTCTCTTTCTTTCTCTAGCTTTCCCTTTCTCTCTCTCTCTCTCTCTCTCACACACATACACACACACATACCACACAAACACACACACACACCCTCACAACAAAAACTAAGAAACAATGAGAAAACAGAAATAAATTAATTGGCCACCAGTATGTGTGTACGTGTGTGTGCGCGCGCGCGCGTGTGTGTGTGTGTGTGTGTGTGTGTGGGGGGGGGGGGGGTCCGGGGGCGGGGATTCGCATATAATGAATGTGTCATAATATATTATATTATTATATCTGATATTATAAATGATTTCATAGCGGTCCTTATGAGTAGTGACCCCTAAAATAAATTATGAATAGCGCCCCTTCTTCCTGTTTATGAATAGCGACCCCGGTTTCGTATTATGAATAGCGGTCCTTAGGGTTTATGACCCTCAATGTGAATTATGAATTGACGACCCTCATTTTACATTATAAATAGCGGTCCTTATGAATAACGGTCTTTACGCCTTTATGAATAGCGACCCCTTTCCGCTTCATGAATAGCGGTCCATCACGTTTAGGAAGTTCCACGTTATAAATAGCGGTCCTTGACTAGCGAGATTCTTTCCAGCAGGTACATATCTGTAGAAGTCTACACATTAAACAAAATGCATCATGAATTTGGAAGAACAAAAAACCGGTTTCTTAATCACAAACATGATGTCATTATATAAAATTACACTGAGTTATGTTTAACCCAACAAATACAATAATGTATGCCTTTCGAAACTTACTGCATAAAAGTCAAAAGCATGCCCATGACAAACACCTGGATAGATAACGTCTCAACGTTTATTACATGTAGGCCTACTTTCCGACATTCTTCAGGCGAAGCTTCGATATTCTTTGTTAAACTTTGTAATAAAGTATTGACGAGGTGGAATAAGCACATCCGTGTCTTTCTCTTAATGTTTTCTTGTCATAATAGTCTTTGCTGGGATGAACATGAAGATGGGTTTGATGACTGAATTTGAGGAATTTCTGTGCGATCTTTATAACTGACTCTCTGTTTTTATCTCATTCAATCTTAATATTCTATCTACTTACTTCCCCAAAATCAAATAAACATTAAAACATCAACAAATTAAAAAAAATCGAAATTTCTTATAAATTCATATATGCAAACCTGATCACAAGATATAAGTTTCAAATTTATTTCCCACATTGCATTTTACATATAAGAAGTCACCGCTGACGAAGTACAATACACAGTCAGTTTTAGAATATACAATTATGATATGGAAGAAGGGAATATAATAGACTAGCCTATTAGCTAAAGTCTCTACATTTTGTGTGATAAAGTGCTGAGAAATAATGACGGCACTGATTTTTACCCCGACATTTTGTTTTACCTCTGACATTTTCACCCCTGACGAAGTACAAAACACAGTCATTTATAGAATATACAATTATGAAATGGAAGAAGGGAATATAATAGACCAGCCTATTAGCTAAAGTCTCTACATTTTGTGTGATAAAGTGCTGAGAAATAATGACGGCACTGATTTTTACCCCGACATTTTGTTTTACCTCTGACATTTTTACCCCTGACGAAGTACAAAACACAGTCATTTATAGAATATACAATTATGATATGGAAGAAGGGAATATAATAGACTAGCCCAGTAGCTCACGTCTCTACATTTTGTGTGATCAAGTGCTGAGAAATAATGACGGCACTGATTTTTACCCCGACATTTTTTTTTACCTCTGACGAAGTACAAAACACAGTCATTTATAGAATATACAATTATGATATGGAAGAAGGGAATATAATAGACTAGCCCAGTAGCTCACGTCTCTACATTTTGTGTGATCAAGTGCTGAGATAGTATGATTTTTACCCCGAAATTTTTATAAACCTCCGACATTTTACACCTAGCCCTTTTCTTTATCTTTTTTTCCCGCATTCAAATAAGGGGTGCATACCGCTTAACAGTAGCTACGCTATTAATTATTACCCAAATGCTATAGGGACAGACTGGCTGGACATAATATATAGAACCAGAGTTACTCAATTGGAGAGACAAAAGCGGTGAAGTGACAAACTGGCTGCCTTCCGCCAAACTACATCTTGCTCTTTGGGGGATTCCGATGATAATATGATTCATGGACAACCATATCAGATGGGATGCAATCAGGACTCGTACAACCTGTGAAGAAAATGAAATATATAATCATTATATATGAATTAATGTTCAATTGGCCACGACTTGCGGATCCAGGCCCGATATACATATTAAAACATCCTTTCACAATTTCGTTCTGACCAACCGTATTACCCTTAAAGTGTATGCGTGTGTAATGCACTACTTGAATGATCTAAAGTTCTATATAGAACTCATAACTGTAAAGAACAAAGTGGTTTAAAGCCTATCAGAATGCATATTTCTCAGTTAAAGATGATTTACACAAAGCAGTGCTAACAAAAGCAAGACAAAAAGCAATGCAATAATGCGTTATGTGGACAAGGTAATGGTTTGCAGCTGAAAGTGTTCAAAGTTGACTATTCATCTTGCACCGTTGCAGAAGCAAATTCACGGTTAAGTGGAAGTGGACCCGTCATTTACCCCAAAAGAAAAATTAAGTCTACCTAAAATGTGCTACCCTTTACCCCCTTCGTCAGTTTAGTGAGTCGGTGAGTTTCGACGGGCTGGCACGGCTCTTAAAAATATAATTCTGGACAAAAGAATTCATTTTGGAGGGAAAATGTTGGACTTATGTACCTTTCAAACGTTTGGACCCACTCTTTTCGCCCCTTTCCTCCGTTGCTCTTGTATCTAAAAGTTAACACTCTGATACATACCACTGTTTGCTAAGGCATTGTCTAGTTCGCTCCTGAGAATTTCCAAAATATTTGAAACACCTTTGGAACCCTGCAAAAAATGAAAATAGATCAGTTCTCATATTTCATGTAGTTATCTGCTTTTAAATAGAGTATGAAATATAATATTATCTACTAAAAATAAAAGTACAATCTCGGGTTGTTTGAAGTTAATTTGGACGTAATGAAAATTGTAATAAACATGTTCGCATAACGCATTTTGTATGGTGTAATGGGAGTCTGTTTAGCATAACAAGAAATCAGACTGTGTTGAAAGTTGTTAAATTATCAGAAAACAACGTCCCATCCGATAGTGTATCCAACATGTCCTCCTTGTTGACTGTTACAGAACTTCAAACCTAGCTCCGAGAAAGAGTTTGGGTACCCTTTTATTCAGAAGGAAACGTAAAATAGGTACTCGAGATCGGTACTAGATAAAGGACTTCCTAAGGAACACGAATTTCGCCCTGATTAGGGTGTTTTATTCTACACGTGGACAAATAAATACATTTATAGATCAATCAATAAATGAAATCACCTTTGAGCTAAATATGAATTATATACCTGGCAAGCTAGTCCCCACAATATAGGTCTTCCTACAAACACAGCTCTTGCACCCCTCCCAAGAGCCTTGAAGACATCTGTTCCTGTCCTTATTCCTCCATCCATGTATACCTCTATCCCTCGACCACGGACTGCATCTACTACCTCGGCCAATGCATCGATCTGCAAATACGTTTGTTTTCAAAGGCGATGCGAAGCAAATTACAAATCAGAGACTTAGACTGACAATTAGGCTTTACAAGTGTCACTGAACATCTTCTTCAGAAACCATTGTTCCAAAAAATGGTCGCAAGGCACGAATTTATGCCAACCTCTATGAATTGGGAGGAAGCCTAAACGTGAGTAATCTCGGAAAGTAGATCATAATTTGGAACATCGATATACCATTCTAAAAGAGGAGAGTGTGGATTACAATTTGAATGGAAAGAGAGAATGAGAGTGACGATGAGACACAGAGAGAGAGAGAGAGAGGAAGAGATGGAAATTATCTAAACAAAGTTATTTGTCGAGGAGGAAAGGTGAATTGAAGTCGAGTTTCGAACGATGTAGGTATTTGTTGATTTGAGATTATATTGAGATACTGGCAATTCGAAATTTATGATCAGTATATACCATAAAAACATCCCAACCCGCGGTCATGAATTGTTTAGGAAATAAAACTCACTGGAGCAGGAGCAACATCTGATTGTCTTCCACCATGAGCTGACACCAGTATCCCATCAACCCCTGCGTCCGCTGCTTCCCTTGCCGAGTCAGCTATATAAATGTAAATATAAATAGCAATTGATTGACAACGATGAAAGAAATAATCTCACTTTCTTGCCAATACATGTACTTCTCATAAGAAAATGAGGAGCTTCAAACATTCTACATATTTCGTTCTGAAAATGTCACCGCAATAATTGGGTTTTGTAAATAGATCCAACCTATCTGCTGATAGGAGCTATTCGTTTATCCCTATCAGATTCCAAAGTATATAGGATAGGAAAGAATACCACATTTGACAAAAATGTGCATATTTTAGTAATGAGGTTGTTCTGAATGATGTGCTGTAATATCTTTAGAAGTGACACTTCTTGCGTTCATAGTCCTTGGATTTCAATGAGATCGATGATGGATCTTACACTAGTCTTTCCATCAGATGGCATAGAATGATAATACTATACAGTTCGAAGATAATACATTAAAGACTCACCAGACACAATTCCCTTACAGACAATTGGAAGATTTGTTATTGATTTTATCCATCTGATGTCCTCCCAAGTAGCCGAGTCATTATACTGCATCTGATGTACATATTTTACATATCTTGTGTCTCCTTCTGCTTTGGCTGCTCTTGAAGAAGGAATGTCTGCCTCAAAATTACTCATGCTGAGGAAAAAAATCGAACCGGCAACGGATGAAAACAAATGAATGTATACTAAACCTTTCTATATTACTTTTGAGAAGATAAATACTGGCGTTTCTGTGCCCCGTCATGACATAACTAAAATGCGAGGAACCCCCTCCCTCCAGCTTTCTTATTTTGTCTCCCGCTCTGCAGGTTTTTTATATTTTTTTCTCTTTTCATATTCAAATGTGGTCCCCATTAGCTACACAAATCAAGATAAACAATTTCAATTTTTACAATCCTTTTCCGGGAGGAATACAATTATTACAACATCAATTCTTAAAAATTACCTTACACTAAGATTTCTTCCTTGATCCGATATTTGTAGAAGAATTATTTATCTAAATTACAGATGAACAATATTAAATTTCATACCGAAATGCGAAAATGGCTGCGTCCTTATTCAGAGCTGCTCTGACTTTTGAGTCAAGACCGGAAACAGGCGAGTCAACCGTAATCACGAGAGCTTTAAAGCCCGCCCTCTCAGCCTCACGTACGACGTGCTGTGTCAGTAAACGATCTTTGAAGAGATATGTCTGCATCCAACGGAGGCCACCTGGAGCCGCTGCCGAAACATCAGCAATGGCTGTATGGGAATCGACGGAGAGGACCATGAGAGTATCTGCTGCTGCTGCACCTGAAAGACCGACACATGTTCTTGATGAGACAAGCATTTACAATCCAATGTAGTTTTGTGACGGGTATCAAGGTCCGGTATTAATTGTCTAAACATCTATTCTTCTCTTGCTATAATTTACTTGCGCTGACGAGCATCTAAAAGAGAAAATTATATCCCTAATGTGGACAAAGGTTTTACGCTTTTGTCTAAAAAAAACACATGATTTTTGTTCAACTTGTTTTTTTACCAGCTAGAAAACGAAATTTAGGGACCAGGCATATTGTTAATTTCCATTTTCTGGTGTCTAGGACGGACCAATCACAACAACAAAAAATATAATCAATATTTTTTTCTAGGGGTGGAGAGACGAAATGACAAGGGCTAGTATTTGTCAAGTCCCATTCCTGGGGATGACGAGAAGAATGAGATCTCGTCAAATCATCTTCCTGGAGTGACGAGAAGAGACGAGATCTCATAAAACATTCTTGTGGTATAATCATCGTTACATGTGCTTTGCTTAATTTCGTTCACAATCAAGCGATTTTCGGAGGAGGGGTTAGCCCCTATGCTCCCCTGGAACTGCTACAGATAGGAGAATATAAATACTTATAGATAAAATCATTGAATAAACAAATATTTTCATTTCAGGTAAGTTTAGTCAATTTGTTTAATAACATTGTTTATTTTTACTTAAATCACGTCGAAGACAAACTGTGCACGATCACTTCTAAGTTTATAATAGTCTATAGTTTATGAGTCTGGTCGCAAGAATTGTCACAATTTCTGTCAAGGTTAATTCTAGTGAGGTTATGTCAAGGGGTACTTTTAAAGCTGATCTTACCTCTGGCGGTTTCTGCTTCAGCATCGGGATGGGCTGCAGCATGAACAGCCGTAGGTGCAATACCAATAGGGTACTGGATCTGCTCTCCAAGAACAGTCGTTGAGAGGCTCCGATGGGATATCCCTTGAAGAACACGGTTTCGGATTCGATACCTGCATATTTCATTTGATAATAACAATAATTACAATAGGGTCCTACGTATAAGGGGCAGCCTCATCAGTGTAATACTGTTTTTTTCTCGGGCCCTGCAATTAATATCACCCCAGCATTTCCATGTTGCCATTTTCACCTGGGTGGAGAGTGGCAAATGTGAGTTAATGTCTTGGACGTTGGACGTTAGTACCGGGCATGGATTAGAACCCCCCCCCCCCCCCATCAACTGGATTGACAGTCCAGTGAATGAACTACTATATACGACACCTTCACATTCGGGGTTTTGAGGTTTTAATTTTCAACACAAATGCAAGAACCATTATTAAGAGGGCTAACTTTAAATCATCGGGTTATTGCGTCTGGTCGGATCGGGTAACGAGAACATTTGAGACTACAAGCCCCTTTATTCCCAAAATGTCTGGGGTAATGTTTGTTTAATAAACCCTTCTCATCTACAAATGGTGTGGTCCATTTTACCCGACAATTTGTGAAAACCCTACGCTAGATCATGTATCCTAGATCATCTGATCTTCCGCTTTCGTTTCACGAAAGTTGCAACTCGGCAACCAGACCGGACGTGATGACCCGGTCATTCGAAGTTAGCCCCTCGATTCCAAAATTTGAATACCCTATCGTATAGCCCACATATATCGTTTTCGATTAGATTGATGTACTAATATTGCCATGTTTCGAAATGTTAGTAGGTGATATAAAACTTAAAGCTAAAGACCAGTTTTGGTCATGCGATTGCATTGTGAAAGAAACGGTGTGAAATCGATCAGAAAAGGTTGATCATCTATAGCATAGATGTATACTGCAAGGTTCTGGAATCATCAAAATGATAAGAAATTTGGCCAAGTCTTCATGAAGTTAGAAGCACTGTACACAGAAAGATGTATATGGGACTACACACACGTGCGCGGCACGTGCATTTCATATCTCTCAACAGGCGAGAGATACACTAATTTACCATATACAGGGCTCAAATTAATTTTTTGTCCACGGGGGCTCTTCCCCCCAAAAAAGAGCCCCCGTGAGCCTTCTCACGGGGGCTCTTTGTTATACAAATATATCCATTGAATTGGTACATATGATACTCCTCAATTATTTGCTATTTCATCATTATCACTTTAATCAGCATTTTCCCTCTTACAAATTTACAAGCTACATAACTGTTACTGACTTTCATCCCGTGATGACATTCTCTCGATTTTTTCCCGTTCTGCACATTATTTCCTCCTCATTATTCGGAGCAACCTTTACATTATTTCTTTACTGAGCCGCGTAGCGGCGAGGCGATTTTGTGTGTGTGCTATTTTGGACAGGCGCGGATCCACGGTCCGATTCTACCGCCCCCCCCCCTAGCCTCCCAAACCGGTAAAAAAATAGGATAGTAACGGAAATTTTACCTTAAAAAATTAAATAAAAAACGCCCCCCCCCTGACCTGCCAGTGACACAAATGCGGCATCAAAATATTTGTGATTCTCTGACCGTAATTAAATGCCTAAAACCCCTGATCCCCCCCCCCCACACACACACACCAATTTACGCTCGCTACCCTCTACCTGATCGTAAATACTTTTGCCCCCCCCCCCCCCTCCCCCACTTTGATAAACGTTCCGCGGGGCCTGTGTATATATACGCATACAACACTGATCTTTATGATGTCTTTAACGTGACATAGCTTCTTCTCACCTTGCAAACGAGAAAGAAAACAAGGTCATTAAAAGGGATTAAGCGACAAATAATGATTGTGATTCAAATTGATGCGAATAATTGTTTGAATAAGCACTGCTATTCACCCGAATCTTCTTTGTAAAAACAACTTTTACAAATCTCAGCCATGCTTACTGAGTTGAGACGTTCCATTCAATGTAAAATACTCATTAAAGAATACACTTCTCCTAATCTGAGTGAAAGTGATATCTTACAACACAGTGGCAGATTTGCATGGCTGAGATTTGTAAAGGTCGTTTTTACAAAGAAGATTCTGGTGAAAAGCATTGCTTATTAAAAAAAATCCTTGCACAATTTGAATCACAATGATTATTTGTCGCATGATCCTTTTATTAAATAACCTTGTTTTCTTTTTTGTTTGCAGGGGGAGAAGAAGCTATGTCACGTTAAGAAATCATAAAGATCAGTTGTATTATGCGTATATACATGATACCAGAACAAAATGTTGATTATCAGAATGTCATTTTGGAATACCTCTTTACAAATACCACATTGTCTTTAGCCCGTATTAGTATTAGTATGAGCCAATATAAAGCTATTATTCTTTATTTAGTTCAGTATAATGCTTTTCCTCAAAAATAGTTTCGCTATTTTGTTAGGGTTGAGACGCTAAGAAATGGTTTCAAATATACATTACACAAACCCTGAACCATTGCAAAATGATGGTGGTTCTCTCTCTCTCTCTCTCTCTTTATTTTAATCATGCATTATCAACTACATATAAAGCAGCAACCAAAAACTTAGGGTTATCTGAGATAGGTGAAAGTAAGAGTTAAAAAGAAAGTCATGCTAAAACGGCGCTTTACCTCCCCCCCCCCCCCCTGAAAAAAATATAATAGATTAGTGGTCCTCCTGTCCAGCATCCCCCTCCCGCTTTAATATTCACCGGCCGGCTGAGTCGGCGCAAAAATGTTCCCCAAAAACTGGACCCCCCTAAACAAATATGCATTTATCCAGCCCCCCCCCCCCCCCCGCTCATTCGCCGATCGCCGGCTGGCTGATTCGCCGCTAAATATTTTCTCAAGATTTGCCCCCCCCCCCCCCCCCACCTCTTGCCGCCGGTTGGTTCGCCCCTGATTTTGGACCCCCGTAAGTGATGTTTTCCTGGCATCTACTTACATGCAAAGCATCGTCCACGAGCCGCATAGCGGCGAGGCGATTTTTGTTGTTGTTGCTATTTTGAACCCCCGTATTGTTTTCCTGGCATCTACGTTTTTCTATGCACATCACATTTTCACTTGGCAGCCCAAGGGGGCCGGGGGAGTAGGGGGTTATGCGTGTTACCAAAATGTCCGGTAAAGGTGTACTTTTCGTGCGACAAAGTCCGGCCCGAGAATTGTAAAAAAAAAAGGGGTGTTTTAACTTTTCACCCGGAGATTTCTTTAAAAAGGGGGTGTTTTTTTTTTGGACTCCTGAGAAATTATTCCGAATTTAGGTGGGTACATTGAGCATTTTTCATAAATAAGGGGGTCTCCAAGGCAGGAAAAGCCCGCGAAAAGCCCGCGAAAAGCCCGCGAAAGAGGGGTTCGGAAATGTTGGCAGTCCTCAGATAGGGGGTGCTTTCAAAAAGAGGGAACAAGCATAATGCGTACCCTAAATAACACTGCTGAGTGGGGGGGGGGGGCGGGGTTTCTGCCCTTGCGCGATCGCCTCCAGCACCAGCAGACATGGCGCGGCAGCGTGCACACGTACCGTTACTAACGGCGCAGTAGGACTATAACCACTGCTAACGCGGCACTGCACTGCGAGCTGAATCGGTAACAATAGGCCTACTCATAGAACGGTAAATCTTGCACGCTAATCTAAGTTCTATTTCATTGGTTTAAGGTTTGAAAATTGAAACTCAATATTGTTATAAAGTTATAACAGAAAAGATAATCTTTATTTTATAATTCCACGGGGGCGATTTTTAATTTTGCAGTCGCCCCCGTGAGCAACCTGACGGGGGAGATTATGTAGCTCACGGGGGCGAATCGCCCACCGCCCCCGTGTATTTTGAACGCTGACCATATATATCAATTAGTAGTCGGTTTCCCGTCAAAATTGTTATCATTATATAATATTCAAAACGTATTCTTTCACATGATTGGTAATAAGAGCTTCTATTTCATTTTTTGAAACTTGGGGCGTTTCCAATACTGGTCTTTAGCTTTAAATAGAAGCTTTTTCGTACAGCAAAAAGTGAGATGGGGTTTGGCGCAAGTATATCGATCGGAAGCATATATGCTGCGTATAATAGGTCACGCAATTAATTCAATATTTATTAAAGACTGCCAATGATTGAAGCCCCTGCATCTTAATATGATTTCGTGAATCCCGTCGTGCATCCCTCGCTAACACACCTAGGGTAGGTGGAGGGGTGGAATGATCGACAAAGGATACTGAGATGATTTTTTTTTTCCCCGATCCCCTTTTACTCTCATTTCTAATATTTCATTCCCTTGTAGACTATATGTCAAGGAGGGGGCACCCATCTGCCCCTGGATTCGCTTTTCTGGTCACTCTTTTGTGAGAGCTTGAACTTGGTGGGACAAACCGGCAAAGAACACGGACCGTACCTACCTTGAAAATGCCTCTGTGCTTTCTTTGAGGCACCACCCTCGATCTCGCCCGGAGCTGTAGTATAGCATGCAGGCGGGAGGCAATATTTTACGTGCCTGTTTTTCGTAGTCTTCGACGGTAAACAATTGATCCTCCTCATCAGCCATGCTTCACCTATCGTGAAAATGCTATCATTAATTTAAAAAAAAAACAATGTCAATATATATATGTTTTTTGCAAAGGGCAAAGTCACACACACCCACACACACACGCACAAATGTTCGTTGATATTTGATATGTGTGGCATGATTAATTTTGTTAGGGATGTTATTTGGATCTGCAAAGACCGAATTAATACCCAAATCCCAATTGTTTTATTCAAACGTCACATAATCAACTTTGGCGCAAGTCGATTTTTGTACTCTCGCAAACAATGTCTCCTGTTCATCAAAGCGTGAACACATACCACACAAAAAGGGTACCAAATGATTTGGGATAAAACACTCTTTCATAAGACATATAACAATTTTATGTTTATCGATGATTTTTTTTTTTAATAATTAGCAATTTTCTAGGTGTAAACTTTTTTTTGACTCACACTGTATACATTGTCAACAAATCACAATTCCATGTACTTAATTGTATCACCCAAAATCTACCAGCTCGATATAAGATTTACGAGTGAATGAACGAAATTAACTACGGCTAATTGGTTTTGTTCACAAAGGACACTGAAAGTCTCGAAATTAAATAGTCGATCGAGAATATAAATAATTATATAATTTACCTTACTTATATTAATTTTGTGCTTGACCAAGACCTCCTGTGTTCAAATGACCAAACATTGAGTGACCGGTCGCTGTGAGTCTCTCGATGTTGTTGTTGTTGTTGTTGTTGTGATTAATGGCGTTTCCATCGTCATTGGATGATTTTCGCCATTTGTTCATTTTCGAAATACAATCGAAATCGATTACGTAACCCTTATAAGCTAAATGCCTTGAATGCTTCACTGAATTTCTCCCAGCAATACTCTACGTCCTCCTCGGACGATAAATTACAATAGGTCTTCGACAAAATCTTCGACGACAAAATGCCTAAAGGATCTGAATGAAAAGATTTCGGGCATAGGTTTTGGGGTATTATGTCCAAGGATCAAATAGACTAGGGAGTGGTCACTTAGTCCACTTGAAATTGTTCCAGATTGCTTTATATTGGATAGCATTAAACTAGAAACACAAATAACGTCAATTAAAGTACTGCTGATTGAACGGAGTTATTCTTGTTGGTTCTCGGATAGGCTGAGTTAACTGAAAGATGGAACAAAATTCATGCACCTTATTTAAAAGGGTATTTTTAGTCAGCATATTGGAGTTAAAGTCACTGAGGACTATAACATTATTTGTAAAGAAAATACTTGGTCTAGTTTTGATTCTAGGCTTTTGAAAAAGGATATTTCATGTTTCATATTCATTTCATTTCATTTATTCAACAAGTATAAAAACAATTTACAATGAAAATACAATATACAATATAATGGTTAGGACCCCTAACAAGGAGAAATCTGCTTGTAATCGGGGCCCTGCAAACAAACAATAACAAGATAATGCACATAAATTAACAATGAAAAGTAAAAGACTTGAATAATAATGGTATACGACTGGGGGGGGGGGGGTTAAGGGTGTTCGTGATGTTGTCAGTGATTCAGCTTTTTTTCCTTCTAAATGTTTTAAATTTATATAACCTTGTAATCAGTTATTGTTAATACATGCTTTTTTCCTTGTAAATATAAAGTTACACAACCTTGCCATTTCCTTGTAATAATTTTGTGTACATTACCATGTTTTTTGTTGTTGTAAATGAACTTCTTGATCACGGTTGGCGGACTCTGGGACCTGCTTGTTTTGGGAGCTCTGCGCGCGTGAAACTGTATCGTATCCATGATCGTATCCTACCATCTTTCATGTTTTGAATTGCGCAGATCCTTGAGACACGTTGGTCTCTTTGCCAATCCGCTGGGATTGAGAGGTCCATCCTCCACAGGGGCCCCACTCACAAGCATTGCTTTTTGGGGTCTCAATTTGGATTATGTTTGTTCGTCATTATTACTATATGCCATGTTTTTTTCTAATAAACTGAACTGAACTGAACTGAGTACGCACCCGTACATCAACACACACACACGCATCCATAATGAAGGTTTACAGAGACAGAATAGAAAGGAGCGAAAAAATATACATGTAGGTTTGCGATATACGACACCTACAAAAATGGTAATCGATTTCTGACCTTCAATTCAAACCACATTATTTCCTAATCGTCTTTTTCAAGATCACGTCTTGTAACATATCCTATATTATTTCTTACGTAACACCCAACTCCTCCACCTCGACTACCTCTACCTCTCCTTTCGAAGATGTAACCTGGGGGTGTTTCACAAAGATCCTAAGTTCAACTTATCTCTAAGTTGGACTTAAAAAATATGGAAAGCCATTAGCATCTTTGAAAATATTTTGTAAAAGTTATTTTGAAAGGCGTTCATTGTTTATTGAAATCATCCATATTTTCTATAATCAAGGAGATTTCATGTTCTGGATGTGGAATTAATAAAAAGTCTAAAATACTTGAATTTCTGCTTTTGAATATATTTCATTTAAAGACTCCAATTGCTGTCCATAATTTTTAAGTCCAACTTAGAGTTAAGTTCTACTTAGGATCTTTGTGAAACACCCCCCTGGAATGTCTAAGATGTTCGAAGGAAAGGAATCGTCAATCCAGGTCTCAGACATTGTGAATAAATCAACTCATTTGTTACTTATATTTTTTTTATTTCGTAAACTTCTAACAACTTCGTAAACTTCTACTGAACTATCAATATCATGCGCACGTTCCCTGTAATTTTTCTTTATTTTTTTTCAGTTGGCAGACATAACTTTTTTTTCTACCGGAGCGCAAATTGCATTTTCAAACTGACTCATTACCTCATCCCTCCGATGGCTTGAATTTTATTTAAATAAATGATGACATTTTCATGACATGTGAAGCATGGCTGATGAGGAGGATCAATTGTTTACCGTCGAAGACTACGAAAAACGGGCACGGGAAATACTGCCCTACGTCTACCTGCTATACTACAGCTACGGGCGAGAACGAGGATGGTGCCTCAAAGAAAGCACAGAGGCATTTTCAAGGTAGGTATGATCCATGTACTTTGCCAGTTTGTTGCCCCCTCCCGCCTCCTTAACGTAAAAGGGCATGAAATTACTGATATGACCCCGTGCGTGACACTTACAGGGGCGTTGGGCTTTGGGTGGGGCGGGGATATATAATTTGACCAATATATTCCTATGCAGGGGCATCAATCATAGGAAGATTGCCTTGAATGTTGAATTAACTGCGTGCCCTTTTACACGCAGCGTAAACTTCCGATCGATATCTCATTTTTGCTGTACGAATTAACTTCTTCTTAAAGTAAATATCTACTTTAAAAAACTGAACAAACGTTCTTTGTTTTCTATTTGTACAAGTTTATGCAACACTGTGTCGCAAAAACCTTTGAGAAATTATTTGAAGAGCAATCTCTGTACCCCATTATATAACCCATGGAAATTGTTTTTAAAATTTTAGATAAGGTAATAAGATGTAATGTTTGCTCGTTGACAAAATAAGGCTGTTATATGAACAAGATCTTGTCTCTTCTCGTCATCGCAGGGAAGTGATTTTAACAAGATCTCGGCATCACAGGGAGGTGATTGACGAGATCTCGTCCCTTTTCGTCATCACAGGGAAGTGATTTTAACGAGATCTCGTCATCACAGGAGATGGTTGATGAGATCCCGTCATCCCCAGTGAGGTGCTTGACGAGATCACGTCTCTTTTTGTCATCAGTTCTCAGTAAGGTGATTTTAATGAGATCTCGTCATCCCCAGGAAGGTGATTAGGCAAGATTTCGTCTCTTCTCGTCATCCCCAGGAAGGGGATTTGATGAGAATTTGCCCTTGTTATCTTCTCTCTCCACCCCTATAAAAGGTGGCTCGATTGGATTATTCACTTTTGTATCATCCCGCCCTAGACACCAGAGCGGGAAATTAACGATATGCCCGGTCCCTATCGTCTTTTGGCTGATAGAAATCTTAGTTTTACCAAAAATTACGTCTTCTCAGACAAAAGCGTAATTCTTTTTTTCCTTCCACATGAGAGATGTGATTTTCTAGTTGAAATGCTCGTAAGCGCAAGCAGACTATAACGAGATTTGTTGAGACTATTAATTCTGGACCTTCAAACCCGTCACAAAACTACATTGGATTTTAGGAATTAGGTAAATGCTCGTCTCTTTTGTTGCTCTTTCAGGTGCTGCAGCAGCAGAAGCTCTCATGGTCCTCTCCGTCGTCTCCAGTACAACCATTGCTGATGTTTCGGCAGCTGCTCCAGGTGGCCTCCGTTGGATGCAGACATATCTCTTCAATGATCGTTTACTGACACAGCACGTCGTACGTGAAGCTGAGAGGGCGGGCTTCAAAGCTCTCGTGATCACTGTTGACTCGCCTGTTCCCGGTATTGACTCAAAAGTCCGAGCAGCTCTGAACAAGGAGACAGCCAGTTTTGCATTTCCGTATGAAATTTTATATTGCTCATTTGTAATTTAGATAAATAATTTTTCTACAAATAATGGAAGAAATCTTAGTGTACGGTAATTTTTAAGAATTGATGTTGTAATATGTATTGTATTCCTCCCGGAAAAATATTGTAAAAATTGAAATTGTTTATCTTGAGTTGGGGTGTAGCCAATAGGGAAAACATTTGAATATGAAAGGAGAAACCAATATAAAAGACCAAGAGAAAGAGTGGGAGACAAAATAAGAAAGCTGGAGGGAGGGGGTGGGGGACATGACCCATTCCATTCACACCATCTCGGTCTCATCGGTTCCTCGCATTTTATTTATGTCATGACGGGGCACGGGAACGCCAGTATTTATCTTCTCAAAAGTAATGACAAGAAGGTTTAGTATTCCTTCATTTGTTTTGATCCGTTACCGGTTCGATTTTTTTTCCCTCAGCATGAGTAATTTTGAGGCAGACATTCCTTCTTCAAGAGCAGCCAAGGCAGAAGGAGACACAAGATATGTACAATATTTACATCAGATGCAGTATAATGACTCGGCTACTTGGGAGGACATCAGATGGATAAAATCAATAACAAATCTTCCAATTGTCTGTAAGGGAATTGTGTCTGGTGAGTCTTTAATGTATTATCTTCGAACTGTATAGTATTATCATTCTATGCCATCTGATTAAAAGCCTAGTGTAAGATCCATCATCGATCTCATTGAAATCCAAGGACTACGAACGCAAGCAGGGTCACTTCTAAAGATATTATAGAACATCATTCAGAACAACCTCATTACTAAAATATGCCAAATGTCAAATGTGGTATTTTTTTCTATCCTATATACTTTGGAATCTGATAGGGATAAACGAATAGCTCCTTTTAGCAGATAGGTTGGATCTCTTTACAAAACCCAGTTATTGCGTTGACATTTTCAGAACGAAATATGCAGAATGTTTGAAACTCCTCATTTTCTTATGAGAAGTATATTTGGCAAAAAATTGGTATTATTTCTTTCATCGTTGTCAATCAATTGCTATTTATATTTACATTTATATAGCTGACTCGGCAAGGGAAGCAGCGGACGCAGGGGTTGATGGGATACTGGTGTCAGCTCATGGTGGAAGACAATCAGATGGTGCTCCTGCTCCAGTGAGTTTTATTTCCTAAATAATTCATGACCACGGGTTGGGATGTTTTTATGGTATATACTGATCATAAATTTCGAATTGTCAGTATCTCAATATAATCTCAAATCAACTAAATAATTCCAACATCGTTCGAAAAACCTTGCTTATAATGTCGGCAACTCGACTTCAATGCACCTTTCTTTCTCGATTTTTTTCTAAAATATTTTTTTTAAATACAAATATTGTTTTTCCTCTCTCTCTCTCTATCTCGCTCATTCTCTATTTCCATTAAAATTTGAGTCCACACTCTCCCCTTTCAGAGTGGTCTACTTAAACTAAGCAGCTAAGCTGTCACCGTGTCCCTAAAGACGTTGGATCCACCAGGGGCGGCCCTCCCGGGGGGGGGGCAGGGGGGCACAGTGCCCCCCACTTTTTCAGATACCCCAAAAGTGCCCCTTTTTACATAGGAAAAGTGCCCCTTTTATTTTGTAAGAAGTGCCTCTTTTACATAGGAAAAGTGCCCCTTTTACTTTGACAAGTGCCCCTATTACTTAGTAAAAGTACCCCTGCCCCCTTTTCACCTCTGACGAGTGCCCTTTTTATTTTTGACACGTGCCCCTTTCCCTTTGCAATAAGTGTCCATTTTCCATTCTCATCAATCTTGAAATTATCTTGAATAAGTGCCCTTTTTAATCTCTAGTAAGTGCCTCTTTTCAGGTACGAGAAGTGCCCCTTTTCACTTTTGATAAGTGCCCCCTTCACCTCTGATGATTGCCCTATTCAAAACTGAGAGGTGCTCCTTTTACTTTGACAACTACCCCTTTTTTCCTTTGTAAGAAGTGCCCCTTCTCCTTTTAATAACTACCCCTTTTTTAAACTCGGATGAGCACACCTTTCATTTTAACATGTGCCCCTTTTATTTTCTAATAAGTGCCCCTTTTCCTTATGATAAGTGCCCCCAATAAAAAGAGAGAGAGAGAGAGAGAGAGCTCCTTCCCCTTCTCATAACTACCCCTTTCCCTTTCTAATAAGTGCCCCTTTTCCTTATGATAAGTGCCCCCATTAAAAAGAAAGAGCTCCCTCCCCTTCTCATAACTGCCCATTTTAAAAATCTGAACGGTGCCCCCTTTTCATTCAACAAATGCACATTTTCCTTCATTATAAGTGCCCCTTTTACATTTTCATAAGTGCCCCTTTTCACCTCTGATAATTCTCCTTTTAATAATGATACGTGCCCCATTTCCTTTCTAATAAGGGACCTATCCTCTTTTCACCTCTTATAAATGCCCCTATCAAAATCTGATGGGTGCCCCTCCGTCAACAAATGCCTATTTCCCATTTTCGTAAACGCCTCTTTTTCATCACTGGTGAGTGCCTCTTTTCAGGTGAAAAAATGCCTCATTTTCACCTCTTATAATTATCCTTTGTACTTTGACACGTGCTCCTTTTCTTTTCTAATAATCGTCTTATCCCTTTCGATAATTGTCCCCTTTTCATGTAATCATTAAACGTGCCCCTTATTTAAAGCGACTAAGAGCAATTTCCCCCAAAGTTCGCTCGCTGCGCTCGCTCGCATTTAAAGATGATACAACTATGTTACTTATCAAAGGTCTTTTCAGTCTTCCGTTATGAGAATGTGCTTCTAACCCCATCACGATTGGCTTTTTTCCTCTTTATAAGATGTAATTTTTCGCACTGCGACCTCACAGATTTTAAAATTTTTCTCGCTTCGCTCGCTCGTAAATGCATATTCAGACATCACACCCAACTGTAAAGTATGATACTTAAGCGATATCTTGTATGATGTATGAAGAGAAACAAATATTGAAATCATCCCTGATAATGTAATCACAATGTAGGGGTATATACCAATGTCTAAAAAAAAATGGTATATTTTCGCTTTGAGATTTCCCACTGTATAGGTGCCCTTTTTTCCAGAAAGTGCCCTTTTTTTGTTGGTGCCCCTCCACTTTGGAAGTCGTTCGGCCGCCCCTGGGATCCACATACATATTCAAACCATTTTTCCTATCTTGAGCAATTCATATATGCCTTCTGGTAGGTGCTGGATTCTAGGATGTCACTTTCCCATCCCTTCCTTGGCCGTCCTTGCCTATTTGTTCCTACAACAGTCTCCATGAGTAAGCGTTTAGCAAAGCATACGCTGTTCAATCACGTCAATTGGGCTCAGGGGCGGATCAAGCCGGCGACAAAGGAGGTGGGGGGGGGGAGGGGGGGGGGCAAATCTTGAGAAAATATTTAGCGTCGAATCAGCCAGCCGGTGAATAAGTGCAGGGGGAATAAGAAGCAATATTCTTCTTCTTCTTTGCCAGGGGGTGGGGCTATTTTCATTTTTTGTTTAAAAAAGGTAAAAACTAAAACGACACGATTAAAAAAAAAACCTGTTTCGTTGTGCTTCAGTAATGCGGCCGGGCAAGGATTCACTTCAGTGGAAATTTGCAATTGGAGATTCTGGCCATGACTTCTTCATTTCTAATTTTACCCTTTCAAGTGATTTGGAGAATTTTCCGAGAGCAGTATCTCAAAGGCTTCTTTAGTATGAAATACACTACCCGATAGGACCTTTCTTTTTAGGGGGATGTATACAATTCCTTCGTGAAGCATGAGGTACTGCTTTTTTTAGGGGCTGAATAGTGGGGGCAAGGCCCCCTTGTTCGCCCCAGGCTACGCCTATGGGTCGACCGCTGTTCCTAATTATGATCTATTATATGAGATTACTCACGTTTAGGCATCCTCCCAAACTATTAGAAGCTAGATGGCAAAAAGTCCTGACCCGGCCGCTTGGAACCATGGTTACGAAAAAAAAAGTTCAGAGGCATTTACAGGTCCAATTTTGTTGTAAAGTCTTTAGTTTGTTAATTTATTTCGCATCGCCTTTGAAAACAAATGTATTTGCAGATCGATGCATTGGCCGAGGTAGTAGATGCAGTCCGTGGTCGTGGGATAGAGGTATACATGGATGGAGGAATAAGGACAGGAACAGATGTCTTCAAGGCTCTTGGGAGGGGTGCAAGAGCTGTGTTTGTAGGAAGACCTATTTTGTGGGGACTAGCTTGCCAGGTATATAAACAGGCCCGTATTCTGAAGTCGTGCTAACTCCTGTTTAACTAAACAGTTGTCTAAGTCCTGTCTAAGTCCCGTCTAACTTTAGACACGAAGTCGTGTCTAACTTTTTTCGTATTCTGAAGTCGTGTTTAAATAAAGTTAAACACTTAAACACGAAGGCCCGTATTCTGAAGTCGTGTCTAACTCCTGTCTAACTAAACAGTTGTTTAACTTTAGACGTGGCTAAGTTAGACACGACTTCAGAATACGGGCCAAACAGTTGTTTAGTTAGACGAGACTTAGACACGACTTCAGAATACGAAATTTAGTTAGACAGGACTTAGACACGACCTCGCGTCTAAGTCCTGTCTAAGTCGTGTCTAACTAAACAGTTGTTTAACTTTAGACGTGGCTAAGTTAGACACGACTTCAGAATACGGGCCATCATATTTAGCTCCAAAGTGATTTTTATTTATTGATTGATCGATATATTTATTTATTTGTCCGCTTGTGGGATAAAACACCCTAATCAAGGCGAAATTTGTGTTCCTTAGGAAGTCATTTATCTAGTACCGATCTCGAGTACCTATTTTACGTTTCCTTCTGAATAAAAGGGTACCCAAACTCTTTCTCGGAGCTAGGTTTGAAGTTCAACAAGGAGGACATGTTGGATACACTATCGGATGGGACGTTGTTTTCTGATAATCAACACAGTCTGATTTCTTGTTATGCTAAACAGACTCCCATTACACCATACAAAATGTGTTATGTGAACATGTTTATTACAATTTTCATTACGTACAAATTAACTTCAAACAACCCGAGATTGTACTTTTATTTTTAGTAGATAATATTATATTTCATACTCTATTTAAAAGCAGATAACTACATGAAATATGAGAACTGATCTATTTTCATTTTATTTTTTGCAGGGTTCCAAAGGTGTTTCAAATATTTTGGAAATTCTCAGAAGCGAACTAGACAATGCCTTAGCAAACAGTGGTGTATCAGAGTGTTAACTTTTGATACCAGCCCCCCAACCCCCACCAAAGAGCAACGGTGGAAAGGGGCGGAAAGGGCGGGTCCAAACGTTCGAAAGCTACTATAAGTTCAACATTCCCCTCCCCCGAAATGATTTTTTTTTTGTCCGGATTAATATTTTAAAGAGTCCAGTCTACTAACCTGGCGATGGGGGTGAAAGGGTAGCACAATTTGGGTAGAAGTTATTTATTCATTGTAAAGAGGTAGCATATTTTTAGTGAAGACTTGATTTTTCTTTTGGGGGTAAATGACCAGGCCCGTAGCCAGAGATTTATGTTTTTTTGGGGGGGGGAGGGGGGGGGCACATACATGTAATTGATCGACGTCCAGGGGAGGGGTCTAAAAAAGTTCAACCGATCTTGGAATTTTTTTTTTTTGTTGGGGGGGGGGGGGGCTATGTGCCTGTAAATGACGGGTCCACTTCCGCTTAACCGTGAATTGGCCTCTGCAACGGTGCAAAATGAATAGTCATCTTTAAACACGTACAGCTGCGACAGTTTAAACCAAACATTTACGTATAACATTGTCTACATAACGCATTTTTGCATTGTTTTTGTGTAAATTATCTTTAACTGAGAAATTAACATTATAATAGGCTTAATCCACTTTGGTTTCTATGTGTTCGATATAATTATTTAGACCTTTTAAGAAGCACATTACAAGCGCAGCAATGTTAGGTTCATACTATTGGAACGAAATAATGAAACGAAATAAAGGGCCTACATCCACGTCGTGGTCTCTTGAAAGTGCTCAACATTCCAATTGAACATTGATTTAGATATGATAATTATTTTTCATTTTCTTCACAGGTTGTACGAGTCCTGATTGCATCCCATCTGATATGGTTGTCCATGAATCATATTTTCATCGGAATCCCCCAAAGAGCAAGATGTAGTTTGGCGGAAGGCAGCCAGTTTGTCACTTCGCCGCTTTTGTCTCTCCAATCGTGTCCCTTTGTCCAGTTGGCTCTAATATCAGTTTGGTTATAGTAAATGGTAAGGAGCACACACCCCCAGGGCAGGGGCGGATCCAGCCGGCTGGGAGGGGGAGGGGTGTGCCCGCCTTCGAAGATGAAGAAAATCTTTTTTTTTTTTTTTTTTAATCAATTCGTGCGATTTGGTGTATACTTTTTGCCAGGATATCATTTAAAAACTGTGACTTTTGCCAGCATTTCATAAGCCTTGGATTTCTAGGAGGTTCTCCTGTTTGTTTACAATTTGTTTACAATTTGATGAATTAACAAAAAGTTTGCATAATTTCTAATGATTACCACACCTAAATGTAAGACATGTGTAACTCTCAATATTTTATTATTTTAATAACTCCAACCAAAATATAATAATTATGTTTAAGTAGTATTTCTGTTATATTTACTGTATGTTGATGTTACTGTTTTTATTAGTGAAGCAAAAGTCATTTGGCGGACGGTATCTGAATTTCAAAGGAAAAATCACATTATGGAAATGCAAGCACTACTTTAAACAAACAGAACTTTGTTATTCCTTGCTCATTTTTCCTGAGTGAGGTGTCATATGAAAGGGCAAAAACTGAACTTTCTAGAAATGTGATTTTCTCTTTGAAATTCAGATACCGTCCGCCAAATGACTTTTTGGTTTCCTCTCTTCAAAATAATTTCAATCACTCATGCGTGAAATATGCATCATATGAGTTGCATCATATAAAAGAAGAGGATCTAAGCTTTACAAATATGTGTCATTTATCTATTATAATTATCACTAAGTTATGATAAAAACATCGACAATTCTTGGTTCCGTTTTTCTGGGACGCACTGTATCTGTCAACATGACTCTATTGCTGTACAACCAAGTATGATTATCATGTTTATTTTCAGTAACCTCAATACAAAAAGGCGTATGTGTAAATAGTAGGCATAGATTGCCTTTTCTAATAAAAATGTAATTCATAATGCAAATTAGATGCTGTTATTTAGTGGTAAATGAAGTCTATCCTTGTACGACTTTATAAACCACCTTTCTGTTCTCATAATTTGCTTGGGCAAAATTTCAGGTTCAAAACATTTGTTGGTAAAAAGATATGAGAATAATTGTGATGCAAAATCCTTTTTTTCATGAAAATTGGTGCCATTAATTGTGTAAATAAAGAAATACATAAGATAATCTTTAACCTCGTGTCCAGAAATTTGCCTATTCTGTCATCATATATCGGTCTGTATCTCGACAACCCTTCAACGGATTTTCACAATTTAAACTGTATATGAATGCGTGGAGCATACTCTTTAGGCTAATATAAAGAAAACGGCAGACTTTGGCCCTTTAAACCCTTTTTTTTAACCTAAACTCCGTAGAATTGCATGTTCCTAAATGGGTGTATCATAATCTCAACTTGAAATTGAAATTTGACGTTTTCAACGCGTGAAATGTACCAGTTTAAAAGGTATTTGTTCTGCTTTAATATGCCACGTTTTATTTTTACATTCGACACTCTAGTAAAAGCTTTTACTAGAGTGTCGAATGTAAAAATAAAAGGTGGCATATACAACATCATGATGTTGTCTTTATTACCCATATTACACATTCATTTGTCGTTGTTTTTTAAAGACACCATAGCTCGAATTAAATTGTTTTGCGTTGCGGACTAGCCCGAATCTTTGATCGCAAGTAGAGCTGCTGCAAAATCTAATCCATTATTTATCATTTGGTCAAGGATTGTGTGATGCAAAGGATCATAATGGCAACTGAAAACAGTGTAGCCAAAGCACTGAGTTCTGTGCGTGAACGGATTCAAGCAGCCTCCTTGCAAAAGGCTTCGGTGAGTTAGAGAACGTCTAATGTCATGAACTAGGGCCTATGACTATGAGTATGATTATGAATGATGTACCGTACGTAGCGGATCGATCGGTGGGGCGCCAGAGCCAGCGGAGATCGCGGCTAGCTGAAGCCTGAGCTGACCCGAGCTGGCGTAGCATGCAGTATAGGGAGCTGGTGTAATCAATGTAAAGGGGCGAAGCGGGGGGGGGGGGGGGGGGGGATGAATTGTTGCCCACTTGCGTTTACCACAGTTGCAAGATATCAATGACATGATGTAAGACTAAGAACTAAGTTAAGTAACTAGTAAAATTGAATGCAGAGTGCAGTGTTTGTGTCTGAAAAATCTGACATCGCTTTTTTTAAATGAGGGAATTATTCTGGGCCGAGGGGGAGAAGAAGTGTTTAAATTCTAGCAAACATCTTATCATTAAGATCATTTAGTTTTACTAGCTTATTGCCTTATGTACCTCTTTAATTGAAGATTCCAATTAGATGAGACTGTCTGTATTTAATTATTATTTTGTGTGTTACCCAATTGTTGTTGTAGGGTCAAGCACATGTAGAATATAGGTCTAGATTTCTAGACTAGCTAGTTAACTGTTTAATCTGATTTTTTCTTTTTCTTCAAAATCTCTGACCTGAATTAAAATCATTTTCTTGGTATTCAACAGGATCATTTTTAGTTGCATGCATTAGTATCTAGTCGTACTCGTTTACTTTTAGTCTGCAATGTTGATGCCTTGAAAAATCGAAGAAGAAAGAAATCAAGTTTACCATGAATTCAAAGTCTAAGTCTGTATTTCTATTTCAATACAGGATGTTTATTTATTTAAATGTTTATTTTTGTAGACGATTCCCAGTGTTGAGCCAAGATTAGTAGCAGTGAGCAAAACCAAACCAGTGTCTATGATCCTGCAGGCTTATCAAACAGGACAACGCAACTTCGGTGAAAATTATGTAAGAACAAGCTGTGAGCTGCCTGTAAGAAGGCTGTGTTTTGTCAATGGGAGAAACAGTTTTCTATGACAACATAATATGTATTATTCAGAAAAGGTTTTGTTATTACAGCTAGGTTGCATTGAAAACAAATTGTGTAGTGATAGCTAGTTGACAGAGTCTGCAAATACAGACTAGCATGTATACCTAAATATAGAATACCCTGCAACCCATGACTTACATGTATGCCAGGTCAGTTATGAAACAATAAGTACTTGTATAATACATGAATACACGACTACAAAGATGTCTGACTGCACAGTCTTTCGTACTTCAATCAAGGTCTCTAATTGGTCTGCTATAAGAACATAATGTAAAGTGAATATTGATATTTCTACTGCACGTCTATAACTAGTACGAGAAGAATACATGCTGTTATTTACTGCCATGATGATTTGATCTGTATCATTTGTTAAGATTTACATGTATATATAATAAAAGTGTTCACCAATCTCATAGCAACTAGTACAACCACTGCAAAGGTGCCTGGACCAAAGTTGAATTGTTTATTTTTGCAAGCAATTAGTTTGGTGAATGGTTAAGTTTTATGGTCTCAGTAATATAGACGTGTTTGCTCAAGCTTTTGTGGCTTCCATTTTACTTCAGGAAATGTGATCATTTTATTCTGAATCTTAAAAAGGGGTGAAATGAAAATAATTTTTAGGGATATACTTTGAAATAACTTTGCACCTTCATTAATGTTCGCGGAGCAAATCTAAACTTTAGAAATTTGTTGAGGATATGAATCATATGATGGACTTGATAATCAAGGCACTTTATAAGTCTCATTTTACGCCATCAGCTTTGGAGAAATAAATGAACATACATATTTGATGGGAGTGTTGATGATAAAGGGTTTAATTTATGTGTAAGTGTTTTTGTTTGTTTTTTTGTCAGGTACAAGAGTTAGTCGACAAAGCTCATGATGACTTGATCAGAGAGCAATGTGCAGACATTAGGTGGCATTATATAGGTCATCTCCAGAGTAACAAGGTCAAGAAACTTCTCAGTGAGTAAAACCCCCTCTCACACTTTCACCCGAACAGACCTTGAAAATCTTCTTTTTTTAAAAAAAACTAATTGTCATACAAGCTTCTCTAATAAGGATGCCAGTTTTTAAGCAAAAGCCTGAATTCAGGCCCTGGCGTGTTATTTTCAGGCCATATTTTAGGTTTTTTGTGTGTGCTGCAAGGCCCTTTGATCAATTCTAACTGGCATCCCTGTACTCTTGAGTGTATCAATAGCTAATGAGATCTGTCTCCATCTTATAGGAAGAAAAACCATCTTTCACCAAAGTTTTGATGTGTCATCATGTGTGTGTATGTGCTTTGTGCTTATCTGGCAAATGATCATTAGTTTCGACATTTCATTTGGGGAATGCATCTGACTTTGAAGTATCATCGTGATACCGGTATTGGTATTGGGATTCCAATAAGAATAGTGAAATGTTAATGAAGTGAGATTTTGGATGTAAATGATGGAAGTAATCATGGAAGGTAATAAATTATTCAATATTTTATTAGGTCCTTTAGGAAAATCATTTTGGCAGAACATGGTAATCTGAATATTAATAAAGAAACTGAATAAACAAACAAGATAACAAATATTTCTATCAGGAAAAGAAAAAAGAAAAAAGTAAGAAAGGGAATTCAAACAATATTGGAATAGAATTCATGGAATTAGGTGAGAAAGATTGATATATTTCTTTCAGACGCTATTTTTCTCCTATTTTTTCCCCTTTTCATTTCCTAAGGCTCTCCTAATCTATACATGGTGGAGACTGTGGATTCTAAGAAGTTAGCCTCAGAGCTTGAGAAGCATTGGAGCAAAGAGACAGACAGAGGAAAACTCAGGGTTTATGTGCAACTCAACACAAGCGGAGAAGCAAGTAGGAAATTATATCACTTTTATTTCGTTCTGCCCTTCATATAAAAGAGTGGAGTGTAATCTGACTTCAGTAGTTACTAGATGCATCTATTTTTGTATTTTGAAGAAAGGAAAAAAAATTGTTTTTGTTTGTTTGATAAGTATGCATTTTTTCTTCCTTCCCTTCACAAAAAAAGAGTGGGATTAAACACTAAATCATTAGGAACTTGCTACATTCTTGTGAAAAAAGAGATATTTTTGTGTACT